CATGCTTTGGGGATGTCCAATACAAACTACTGTAATGCTCTCTACAAAGGGCTGCCCTTGAAGCTAGTATGGAAGCTCCAGCAGGCCCAAAATGCATAGGACAAGTTGATTACAAGTACTAGCAGATATGAACACATAACTCCAGTACTGGCACATCTCCACTGGCTTCCTGTTCACTGTGAAGACATAATTTCAGTACTGGCACATCTCCACTGCTTTCCTGTTCACTTCTGTACTCAATTCAAGATGCTGGTAATTTCCTACAAATGGCGTAGGACTCTGATACCTGTTGGAACATCTCTCCTACAAAACAGCCACGCATCTAACCTGTTCCTTGCACTCCATATTGTTAAAAAGAGCACCACCTAAGAAGGACAAGTTCCCACCGGAAACCAGGCATTTTTTATTATGACCCCATATCTTTGGAATAAAATACCAGCAGAGGTTTGCCAAGCACCCTTCCTCAAAGAGTTTAACAAGCTACTAAAAAACTGAAATGTTTAAAGCTGCTTTTTATTGATGTGTGCTATCTGATGCCCAACTGTGATTTAAATTTGTTTGCTTACATCAGATTCCACAGGTCATGTGGTTTTATTTTATTGTTTATGTTTGTCAATGTTTGTAATCAGAATTGTATTATTTATAGTTTATATGTGTTGGTTGTTCACCATCCAGAGAGTGTGCAGCACACTACTGGGAGGTATATACCATATTTTCCCCTGTATATGACTGTGAAGGGAAAGACCAGGGACAAGAGGTTTTTCTAAGAGAGCCGTCTCTCCCTAAGTCATCTAGAGCAACTCAGACTACCCCACCTCCCACCCCGCCCAGAAAGAGAGAACAGTGTAAAGACATCCGAGATTTAGAGGAGAAGAACAGGAGGGGAAAGAGCATATCCCAAGCGGTAGATACCCAGGACTTAGAGAAAGTGCTGAAAGGGTTAAGTGTAGCTGCTACCTGACAGGAGTTGAAATGGCAGGAAAAGAGGAGACGGGGCGGGCTCTGGCTGAGGCGGGAATGGGAGATATAAATACGACCCGAGACTTTATCCCGGGTGGCTGGGAATACCTATGGATGCAAGATCCATGGACCTGCAAATGGGAGCAGGTTCGGGTGCCTAAGGCTGAAGCTGAGAGCCGGAGGAGGAAAGGGCTACCTCAGAGACCTTCTTACTAGGGTGAGTCCGAGACCCGGGAATGGAGGAGAAAGGTTAGAGAGGAGAAAGAAGCCATCGCCAGAGAGAATGAGGCGCGCAGGGCATGGCATCTCGAAGAGTTACAGAAAATGGGGTGTTTTGTGGACCTTGGGACAATTCACCGGGAGAGGGGTCCCCATGGTGGGGATGGATTGGGGATGAAGAGACTCTCCCGCTTCTGAACCCAACGGAACCTGATGAGGGAGCAGCGGATCAAGAAAGAGCACTGGCTGGACCCTGGAATATAACGACAGTTAACCCCTTTGAAGAGAATCTTTGGCCACCCTTGAGAGAGCTGTTGCTCGAACAAGACTTTTCCAAGAGAACCCGCTGATGTTGAAGTTTCAGATGTTGAAGTTCATGAGTCTTGTGGTTTACTGAAACAAAGGGAAGCCGGTACAAGAGAACCTTCACAATGACCCCCCCAATGTATAAGAAGACCCCCTAATTTTTACCCTTGCTGGAGGCGGAAGTGCAGGCAATGGGCATCCGCAAGGGGCAGCCCAGCGTGGCTGCTCCTCCGCCTCCTGCTGCTGCTGCCACTTCCACCGCCTGATCGTCTCCTCCAGCGCGACTGCCGGAGCTTACCTCCAGCTCATGTCGCCCACCTTGTCCCCTGCCTGAAGGAGACAATCGCTAGAGGAGGTGATCTGATGGCAGCGGCAGCAGTCAATGGGTAGCAGCGAGAGGCGGCCAAGTGCGGCTGTTCCCCTGCCTCCGTCTCCTGCTGCCTTCCATATCAAACGACCCTCAATTTTTCCTCTAATTGTTTTAGGAAAAAGCATTGTTTTATGCCCAGAAAAATACAGTAAGTTAAATAAATAAATAATTATTAAAACTGGATGGGGTAATCAGGACACCAGGTTAAGGCTGCAACACCTTTAGTTGCCTCCTCAGCCTCCAAATAAGGGTCCCTCTGCTGAGTGCTTTTAAGCATAACAACTGGATTTCTGGTTTGGTAGACAGGATTTGGCTTTATCTCTTGCATTTTACAGCCAAACTATTATTTGATGAAAGAAACCTCCATTTGGCAAATGAGTTGGCTAATGTAATAGTAAAACTGAAGTATCTAAAAAGTATCTGCAAAAGTCCTTCTAGCCTGGTTCTATGAAGTTGACTTCATACCTCTGATTGACTATAGTTTTGGGTTTAAAAAAACATACTAAACTGAACTGCAAAACAACAACTAAGTATCACCTTCCAGTTTCCTCATATTCACAGTGCAGAGTGAAGGGAGTGAAATACATGAACTCAGTTCATCATGACATCTGACTGCAGAACCCTTTTTTACCCTACTGAATTCTTGGACTGTGCCTAAAAATATTCCAAGTTCTTTTACATACTTTTAGGATTGCCTTCCAGTATCCTGCACACACTCATTCATGGGTGGTGGTGGGGGAACCTTCATATTTCAGTCAGAAAAATTATCAAGTAATTTTTTATGCAACACAACCCTCTACATGTTAATTCAGAAATAATTACTCCACTGTGTTCTGTAAGACTTATTTCCTGATATTATTATATTCTTAGGTTAAAAGGTTTAACTAATACTGTAACCACAATCTTAAGAATACTTATTGGAAGAATAGTCTGCTAAATTCAATCAGTTAATAGCTGCTTACTGCCATTCTTAATATTTTGAGTACTGGTATCGGTTTCATACCTCCTGAAAGTTATTCTAGAGTAACACATTAAGTTTATTACATGACATATGAAAACACCCTTTAATACAGAAAATTATTGAACATGGCTTCTGGTATAATAATTAATTCATGTTTTCAAAAGCTGTGCTGCAATTCTAGACACATGACAGCACTTTGAAACAATATGGTTAGGTTTTTAGCATATATAGCAGACCTAGGACAATCATAACTTCATTTAATTCGATATCTATCAGCTCTTAAAAGTGAAAACAGATCTTTTAAAGTCATATTTACACATTTATTATGTTGCAAACTCTGTCACCACACACAATATTCTGATGCAACTTTTTAAGCATTTTATTATCATTTTAATTTTGGAACCAAACTTAGGCAGCACTCTTATTCTGCTCCATTTGACAGAAATTTCCTTCCCACCACATGTGTTTCAGGCCATCTTGTAAACAATGTAAAGCATGCAAGCAGTAATGGCCTTGGACCATCAGTTTGTGTGCAGCATTGCTGTGCATGGCACTGTCGGGACACCAGGTAATCATTCGGCCTTGTGTGGGATTCACCCACCCACTTTTAACTTGGAACAGGGAGGCTGCATTCACACAACACAAATGTAAACACATTCCCTTAGAAGTAAAAGTAAGAGACTTCAACAGGATTCACTTTTCAGCAAGTATGCATTGGATTGCGCCCTTAAGTGCATTTCTAGAAATATAATCTGTTCTTACATTCAAAAATAAAATTACTGCATACCTTAGACATTAATAGGATTTTACAAATTCCAAATGTCTGAAAGGCCACCATCTCTATGCAGGCCCAGCGCTTAAAGCCCTATTTTTATGTGTAATTTCTTTGCCTCTTTGTAGTGCTCTTTCTCTGATTCCTCCCTACAAAGTAGTTTGCTTGGAATGCCTTGTCACGCCGCCGAATTGCGTCGACGAGGACCGATGCTCCTTCCTTTTGGCACGGGTGTGAAGCCACGCTAACGCTACCTTTAAGAAACACACGGCAGCCCTGAAAACACCTTGCCGACCAGCTCTCTCGCCTGCTGGGGACGAGCTCAGTCAAACGCAAACATTAGTTCTGCTGGCTGCTGCTGTCTACCAAAGGACTGTACCCGGTTGCCAAATGCTGAGTTAACAAAACTATGAATCAGCACTGAACCAAAAGTAATCGGGAATAGCCGCTTTCTTTCCACACGTTCTAAAAAGCGTGGAAACTGTTCTTGCCTGAACACAACAGTCACGTAACTGTCGTCGTCGTCTTCCCAACCACCGACTCTTTTAGGAGAGAGAGAGACGCTTTTACTACTTCAGTGAGGCGTCGAGGTTGCGAGTGCAACTCCTTACAAGGGGACAAGCAACCGGAGGCAGCCTCCCGCTTCGGAGGTGCTCGGTGTCACCGAAACAAAACCCGGTGTTTGCTGGGAAGCAAAATGTAAACAGATCCAGCAAAGGCGTCGAGGGACAGGATCTGCTTCTCAATGGGTTTCGCCGAGGTTTGACTGCGCTGCGCTCCCCTACCCAAGGGACTGGCTGCTCTGAGGTTGGGGGGGGGAATGTCGCCCTTATGGGCTTTCCCTCCGCTTCTCGGCCCCCAGGACTTTTTGGACTTGGCTATCCGGGCGCGAGGCAGTAGCGGCAAGCCATGGGTTAAACGCAGCAGCACTTGGGCGCGAACTCCTCTGCTTTAGTCCTCTGCCGTGCCAAGCACCAGCGCGAACACCCCGTGCAAAACCGGAGCCTAGACTAGAGGGTAAACAGGACGCCTGGCAACGCCGCTCGCCCTCGCCGCCTCGATTACGCAGGGAACCTGCACTCATCTCCATAGCACCCGCTGCGCGCCGGCGGGCGAAAAGGCAAGAAGCTCGGCTCGCCCGTTCGCGCGCGCACACACAACAACGTTCCCTACGTGCGCTCCCCGCGCCACCCCAGAGGCGCCAATGTCCTTTCCTCAGCCCCCTCCACCCACCCACCCACGCACCCACACGCACACACACGCAAACCTGACCACATCTCCTCGAGGCGGGTACTCCGTGCGCACCCCTAAAGAACTGCCACCTAGCCTGCCCTTGTTCTCCGGGCCGGGAAGGAGGGGGGGACAGAGAGCCGGGGCGCCTCAACGCCGGTGGCCCCCTTCGCTTCTCTCACCTGCTGGGTGCAGAGCCCGGAGCTCTGGCCGGGCTCCCGCGGCTGGGCGCGAAACGCAGGAACTTGTCAGCCTCTCCAGGCGAGGCGGAGACGGCCGCTTGGGGACTCGGCTGAACCAGGCCCGCCCCCGAAGGGCTGCAACCAGGGCGGTAGCGCCGCCTCTCCCCTCTCGCCTGCTCCTCCTCCTCCTCCTCCTCACAGAGCCGTTGCCGCAGCCGCCGCGGAAAGGCCGCCCCGGAGGAGACGTGGTGCGGCGTGAACTGGGAAGGGCTTTCCCCCCTGTGGCGAAGGCGGGAGCCGTGATGCCGCTTGGGTCTGGTACATCCGTGCGCGGGTGGCGCCACTCACTCTCCCTCCCGCTCCTCTCTGCTTAGAGTCGCCTGTTCGCCTACAGGATCCGGATTAGTGCTTGCCACTGGGCTTGCCCGACTGCCAGCTTCCCACCTGCCCCTTTACAGTCCTACGGCTCCTGTCCGGGAGGAACACAGCAGCGAAGGATGACGTGGGGGCGGAAATAAAGGTCTCTTGCGCGGGCGGCGTTTAAACCTGTCGCGCTCTTGATTTATGCCCTTCACAGGATGGGACCCGGCTTGAGAAAGAAGGGCCTTGCTGCAGAGAAAAGCCCTTTCGGACATTTTTTTAAAAAATTAAATCGCACAGACAGAGCGTACCCATCACTTCTGACTCTATGCAGCAAGGAGAAAGCGGGGGCGTGATTTTTAAAAATGTTACCAAGGTTTTGAGATGCCCTACTTGAGGTATATTGCATTCTATATCTTTCCTCCATGTACCTGGGACCATTCTAGTCTGTCATCTAAAACTACAGTACTCAAAAGGGAATGGAGAATATATCAAGAACCCAAGACATTAATGTTTCTATTACGTTCCAATATACTTCCCCAATTACTGTACTCCAGATTTAGCAGGATCCAAATCAACTCAAAATTTCCCATTTACTAGATGTTATTGTATGTGCAGGGAAAACATGCTTTTCTTCAAGGAATCATTCTTTTTTGCATACCTATCTGGAGGTTGCCTGCTGTCTGAACTGTTTCCCTTTTTAAATTGTTTTCAATAAGCTGTTTGACTTTATTGCTGCATCACACAGGCTTTTGAGTCTTTTTGTTTGCAACATTGATGTAGCACTATGCTGCTTAGAATAAAAAAAAGAAAAAACTTAACTCTGGACAAGATAGTTATGGCCAAGGAACAGAATGCAGGCAGAATCACGACAGACCCATGGGTGAATCAAAGTGCCACATTTAAAGAGTTATGCAGTCCCCTTCACCGAATCTTATTCAATTGAGGCTGCCCCATGAAGAATGGGCCAGTGACACAAAGAGCACGACATGAATTGTTACAATAATACAGTGGTACCTCCACTTACGAACTTAATCTGTATTGGAACGGCGTTCATAAGTTGAGGCAAAATTTCCCATAGGAATGCACTGAAAACCATTTAATCTGTTCCAGCTGTTTTTCGTTCTTATGTCAAGGTGCTGTTCGCAAGTAGAGGCATTAGTTCCCATTGGAACTAATGTGCAAAGCCATTTAATCCGTACTCTACCACTAGAAGGAGATTTTTTTCTTTTAACGTAAGATGAACTTAGGTTTAAAAAAGGTCAGGAAAGAAGAGAGAGGGAGGAGGGAACACCTTCTAACACCTTTAGAAACAAGCAGATTTTAAACAAAACCAAGCCAAGCACCTTCTAGGTAAAAAAAGGCGCAGGAAAGGAGGGAGGGAACAACTTTTAAACAGAACACCTTGGAAAGCACCTTTTGAAGGTGTCCCCTTCCAGCTATTTTTCGTTGATCCAGACCAGTAAAAGTTTTCCACTTCTTCCATCGGGGTGGCCTGTTCTTTCTTAGGATTGTGACTCCTTTTGCCACATCAATGTGTTTCAAGACATCTTTCTTCTTTAATATGGTGGCAATGGTTGACTTTGCCATTTGGTATTCCGCAGCCAGTTCAGTGATACGCATGCCATCTTCATGCTTTTTGATTATTATTTTTTTTCCAATGGAGATGATTTTTGTGGCTTTGCTCTGTTCTTTCTTTGGAGCCATGACTATGGACGTACTGTTCAGCACACCACAGTACAGTACACAAACCCTAAAAGGCACAGAATCCAGCAACCATTATTCCAGCACAGACCCCCTCATCACAAAAAGAGAGCATAGAGGGGGTGGGTAGAGACTTTAGTCTCTAAACTGCATTTTACAGCCTGCTTGCACCAACAGTCAGCAACCATTCCAGCACAGAACTCCTCATCACAAAAAGAGAGCATAGAGGGAGAGAGAGATAAGACAATGGGTGGGTGGGGGGAAGCTTTGAGCCTACAGTAGACTCCATTTTAAACTGCCAGCATCAACATCCAGCAACCATTATTACAGCAAACAGATCCCCAAAGAAAAAAAAAGACTTTAGAGTCACATTTTAAACCCACATACTGTTGGGGTTCAGGCAATGGGCAGGCTGATGGGTTTTATGATGATCACCAGATAATGGATAGCAAAGAGTCTCTTAGCAATACATAGAAGAAGTCAGCCACACAAACAGATGGATGTCTGCCAGCAGTACTCCTGGTGGGCGACTCAGCAAGGAAGCAGAATGAGAAGTCATTGTCTTCTTCTGACCCCCTGCCCCCAGGAGACTGTCCTTTTATTAACATTACAAGGTCACAGGTAGTGCCAGCATTACAGATAGTAGACAGGGTCCAGATAGGACAATGGTTACATTAGGGTTGGTCTGGGGAAAGGCAATTAGTCAAGCCCTCTGATTGGCCTAAGGAAAGGCCTCTATGCCAAGTTCTCTATGATAATGAGAAGGAGGGAGAATGATGGCAGCTCCTTCCCTCAGAAGCAGCCACAGGATGCTAGGCAAGTTTTCCCTCACTAGAACACCCATGTAGCTTAGCAACCTTGGGAATGGCACCCCCACAACATACAGTATTTTAAAACAACAGAGAGGTCACAGTACACAAATCCTAGAAGCTATCGAATGCAAAAATAAATAAATAAATTTTACATTTAAAAATTACAGTCTAATTTTCACATTTAATTTTAATTTAATATTACAGTCTACTTTTCACCTTTTAAATCCACACTGCAAGACTCATCCCTGCAGCTCTCAGTGTAATACAAGTACAGTGGTGCCTTGCAAGACGAAATTAATCCATTCCGGGGTTAATGTGTCTTGCGATATTTTCGTCTTGCAAGCTGCGGTTTCCCATAGGAATGCACTGAAATTTAATTAATGCGTTCCTATGGGATTTTTTTTTAAGTCACTTACCAGTTAAGGAGGTGGGGAAGCACCATCAGAGGACTAGCAGGGGCCCCCTCACCTGGATCGCCACCTTAGGAGGTCCCCCAGAGCTTCCCTTGCACCATCGGAAGACTGGGTTCCGAATGGGAAAAGGCTTTCTTTTTTTCCTTTTTTCAGAGGCTTGCTGAAGGCAGGGGAAAGGGGTGCATCTTCAAAAATGGTGCTGGACAAACCTATGCAAGCGCCACTCGCCTGGAGGGACCCCCACCACCAGTCTTCCGATGGTGCAAGGGAAGTGCCGGGGTCCCTCCGAGCAGCGCTTGCAGAGGCTTGTCCACCACCATTTTTTAAAAGTGTGCCCTTTCTCCCTGCCTTCGGTAAGGCTCCGAATGGAAAAAGGAAAAAAAAGAAAGACTTTGGAGCCTTACCGAAGGCAGGGAGAAAGGGCACGCTCTTCCAAAATGGTGCTGGGCAAGCCTCTGCAAGCGCATTCATCTTGCGAAAAACTGCCATAGGAAGAGTCGCCTTGCGAGGCACCAAAACCCTTGCCGGACCCTTTTGTCTAGTGAGTTTTTCGTCCGGTGAGGCAATCGTCTTGAGAGGCACCGCTGTACGTAAAATTAACATAATCTCATATTAAAAAGTTTATCTGTAATGACAACTACAAATAGACCACGTTATTAAAACATTTAAAACTAAATTTAGAAAAGCTAAAAACCACCCTGCAGGGACTCAGTTGAAAATTAAATGTTAAAAGCCTGCCTGATGAGGAGGGTCTTCAACTGTGTACGGAAGAATAAAAGACAGGAGGCTGACACACATGCGCGCATGCACGCACGCGCACACACACACACACACACACACACACACACACACACACACACAGAGAGAGCTTTTCAGAAACACAAATATTTGTCCACAACCATTTACAAACACTATTAAAAACAGTTATTGCAATCAGAAAAAAGTAGTATTTTCCCTTCATTATCTGGTGTTGCTTATGTGTTTTGGTATTGTATTCATTGGTTCCTTTAGTGTTGTATACTCACTTTTATTAGCTTAAACGCAGGTTGAAAAGAATGAATTAAAATGTCAACAGGCAATGCAAAGAAGAAAGTGCAGCTGTTCAAATTTTGCAGGGCAAAAGGATTCCACCCTACAGGATCCGTATGAGAGACAACCACCGTTCCTTATTCTAGAGAAGGGTGAAATATGTCACTCCTGTCATCATTCCTAGGACTAAATGCCCTTTGTTTTGGCTGCTTGTTATTTTTTCTTCCAAAGAAGAGTAAGCAAACCTTGACCCTTCAGATGTTGCTGAACTGCTTATCCCATCATCTATCACTATCAGTTATGCTGACTGATCACAGTTGCCGTTCAACTGCATCTTTTTCCCCTCACCCTTATTTTCAAGAAATCTTCATGCAAAGTTTCTTACACAACTTCAACTAGAAGTTAGCTAGATGTTGCTGAGGTGTTCCCAACAGGCAGCTGATGTTCTCATATATAGGCATCCTTCAGTCTCGAGAGACTACGGTAACATGCTCTGTATTGAGAAGTGTCCTCTCCAGAGCATGAAGCCTGGGTAAAGTAGTATGGAGGATAGGCTGTTACCCAAGCAGCAAATCCCCCCTCTCCACATTGCTGAAATGGTCCAATGGAAAGGCAAGAGCCAATACAACTGATTCCAGCAACGTCGCAGGAGTTGGCAGAATGACACGAACTGCCTTCAGGACTCCAGTTCCGGATCTTGGGGCTGTAGCCCTAGACAATTAACTTTTTCAAACTCTGCTAAGAATTGACACAATTCATACAGATTCTCTGTGATTTTGTCGTGTCTGAGTTCTCACAACTTTCTTGCTTCTGATGTACTTAATTTTGCCTCCCCCTCCCCCATATTTGCATCTGTAATAAATTTA